TATATATTAAATATAATTTTCACAATAATAAGCTTTATTGGACATGGAATGCTGATAAATTGTTTAATTTTACAGCCAAACTGAAATACACAAGCTAATATTTCATCACATTAAACAAATATTTTTCATGCATTAACAATGTTAAGCTTACGCATGTGTAGATTTTAGATTATGTATACGATAACATTTTATTGGAAACAGGTTTTGACAGCAGCATCTGTTTCTAACAGGTGCTTTTGGATTGCAGTTTGTGGAAAAAGCTATATATATATCCTAAACTGCAGAATACAGGTAGAGCGCAGAGGTAAATTTAGCCCCTTTGCTGTCATATTACAGAGTGGGCACACAAATCCAGTCCCACACAAACCCAGATGTAGATACTTGCATATGGCACAAACGTGTGCAGACATCATGGAAACAGATCCGGAAATTGTGTGAAGAAAAAAAATGTTAGAAACAGATGCTGGTGTCAAAACCCGTTTCCAATAAAACGTTATCATCGTCGAATAGGTGTCTAGAGAATAAAGTGAATTACTGAGGGTAGAAATATAATCAAAAGCTAAAAAAGCTTATTTTTTAAATTTCCAATATTGTTTCTTATTAAACTCCAAAGGGTAACTGTTCCATAAAGCTGTAAATACGCTATGAGGCTTTCTGGGAAATAGAATATGTAAATGTTTCATTCTGATGAGGCGTCTTGGGAATCTGAGTGTTTAAAACATTTCTGCTTTGTAATTGTTCAGCTCATTCTACAGGTGGGAACTCTGCACATTATGCCTACATTACGCACATATGCAACAGTTAAAGGAATGCATTAAAACATTCATTCCTGCTCTCGTTTCCATTGATGACTCACATATTAATAAACCCATTTTGAAGAACTTGCAGCAAAAGCAACAAAAACACTTGAAAATAGAGACGTACAAACCAAAATACAGGTCATTATTACAACGGAAAAAAAAATTATCATAAACTGTTTCATAATCACAAATAAATAATGACCTGGATTTTAATTTTATTTTCAGTTTATATTTGACTAATCTTTTAAGAATTTAAGTCACAGTCTTCATTTTACTTTTAATGGTTTACATATAAATGAAAACTTAAACTGTATAATTATATAAAATATTTGGTAACACTTTATTTCGATAGTCCACTTTAGACATTCTATTAACAGTAAGTAACTTTGCAACTACATGTCAACTAGCAGTTAGTAGAGTATTAGTAGACTGTCTGCTTAATATCTTCTAACACTTTCTTTGTCAACTTATTCTACTAACCCTAAACCTACCCTAACAGTCTACTCTGAGAATTAGTTGACATGTAGTTGACATATAGTTACAAAGTTACTTATAGTTAATAGAACGT